ACACACACACACACACACACAGTCTGCAGTGACTTTGGTGTACATCAATTTTGATAACTATGTGTTTGCTAATTACACAAATTCTCACAGCATTGTTGACTCCAAAGATGACAGTGTAAAATGTACCAATGTTTAAACAATAATTTCCTGTTAAGAAACACTGTGTTCTTATTTTTCACCATATGTAACGTTAACTGCAGCAACACTACACCATCTCAGGGAAATGTAGGTGTTCAGCTGGCTTTTTACTTTTTTCTTTGCATTCTCAGTTGACTTGATAAAATGCTTAAACAGGTTTCTCATTCTAAATGTTTGGAAAGCATTATTTCCTTGTCAATTTACAGTTGAGAGAATTAGACCCAGAACAGTTCCAAAGCCAGGTTTGAAGGGCAGCCATCTTAGGCCTCTTAAGAGTTTTTCACATCAAACCTTCCTTATCAGGGGAATTAGAATTCTCCACATTTCAGCTCCCTGATGGCAACTCACTTCTTCATTTCCCTTGGTAGGTCTAATTTTATTTGATTTGGGAAACCATAAAAGTAAAAAGAAAACAGGATAATATGAAATAACACATTGGTAATGTGCACATTTGTTGAAATATATGTATACATAAAACAAAACTAACATTTAGAGTTATAGAACGAAATTTAATTAAATAGCACATATCAAGTGCTTACACTAGTGGTTCCCAATATCAGTTGATCATTAGAATTATCTACAAATCTTTTATAATATAATGACAAGCAGCCCACTACCTGGAACTCATTAAATCAGACTCTACATGTGAGTGCCTTCATCGTTCTGAAGTCTGGCCAAATTGAGATACATTGCTTTAGATTGTTGCCAGGAACTTATTTAATGTTCCATCAATATGATCTATCTTTATCATTTATACCAACCTGTAACATTAATTACTTCAAATTCACTTCATAATTACTATTTTACACATTTAAAATATTACCAATGAAACTTGAGTTTTCATGCTGTCTGTATATGATCTTATTCCTTCATAAACCTGTTCTCAAAAACTCAATTTCTTTTGTAAATTTATAAGTTTTGTGGATATGTTTTCCTCTCAAAATTTTCATAACATTGGAATTAATTTATGTGTCCATAACCACTTTCCTTGAAAATGTACCTAAATCATATAATCTTACACATATTGCCCCACCAAAGTTCTAATTTATTACAATACTATTTTAAGTGTCTCTGGGAAGTACATCCATGTATATCACAGGCTTTAAATGTTGCATAGTATTACTAAGCAAAGGACCATGTCGTATGTCGATTTCTTATTAAGACCATCATAGTAAAATTCTGATTTCACTCTCCCCATTACCCAATTGAAAATTTCTATATGTGCATGGAACATAGTTGTTTGAGCTGTAAAATTGATATGCATCAAAGTTTCCCATTAATTGCCAACATTTGTTTACCAAAATGTCTAGCACTACTGAATGCTGTTTTTGTCAAAGTATGGATTCACAAATACCCAGGAAAGCTGCCTGGCAACAGTCATTCATTCTATGATAGATGCACATGAAATCCTGTATAGGGTATAATATGCCCACTGCTCAGAATTCTTAAGTATTCTTAAGTAAAATGAATTATTTTTCATAGAAAACCTTATAGCCTACAAGATGTATGCTATAAATTTTCTGCAAACCATTTGTCTCATTTTATTAATTCACAGATCAATTCATCAATGAGGAAGAATCAGTGATTGACTCTCTGCTCATCTGAAAAGAAACACAATCATTCAGCTCTGGTTGAGGAGACAGTGTCCTGACATAGGTATCAGGAGAGCAAGGTCCAAATTCCTTACCTTTCACACATTAAATTTGAAGTACATATAAATCTCTCAACATGCCTCACTGCAAATAGGCAGAATGATACTCATTTGTAAGAATGTATGAAGCAGCTAACAAAAGTTTGGGACTTAATAAAGAATTGGGTGTTGTTTTTAATCGGAATTTGAATCACTATGAGAGTAATGGGTTTGTGATTGAAATACAACTCCATCTTTATTCGATTATATAGGAAAGATAGAAGCTTCATATGCTCCAGGAAATTTGAGCACAGGATATATTGAAAAGTTAAAATATGCCTAAGATCATATAATAAGACTTTCCCATTCTCTTTCCATTTTTCCTTTTAAGTTTTTATTTTTATGTAAATCTCTGCAATGTTTTGAAAATAATTGAATTCCATACACTCAAATAGTTCCCATATAAAAACCAAAAAGCAACCCCTCCTTGGGTTTCTGAGGTGGTATCACTACAGAAGTAGACTGCCCAATCTTCCTTCTGAGGCATGACTGGTGTATTTGAAACACCAGCCTTCTGGTTAACAGTCAAATGACTTGAGGACTACACCACCAGAGCTTCCAAACACATGTTGTTGTTGTTATTATATGCCGTGGAGTTGGACCCAACTCATAGCGACCCTTCCTTGGGTTTCCGAGGCAGTATCACTATGGAAGTAGATTGCCCCATCTTCCTTCCAAGGAGTGGCTGATGGCTTTGAACCACCAGACTTCTCGTTAGCAGTCAAGTGCTTTAGCCACTATGCTATCAGAGCTCCCCCCCGAACACATATTCATGTCCTATTTTATCTTGCCTGTAGTCCTATGAGAAGAAAGCACAGGCAGGAAAGCACTCAGCATGGAACCCATACAACCTATCCTCTGATCGTTTGAATGAAAGAAGCGCCTATTCCATATTTAATGCAGAGTTGTTATTGTTGTTATGATTGTAGCCTATTCTGTGCCAAACAGGAACTAGGCTCTGGGGAATGAGAAAGGAAAGAGACTCAGTTGTTTTCCTCCTAGAATTCAATATCTACTTGTATAAAAATGAAAATGACATGCTCTTACAGGGATCCAGAGCAAATGAAACCCTCAGATCACAGGGGTACTTTAGTTGAATGCAATGATGCTTTGTCTAATATATATTAATAATAATAATAACTTACAAGATTAACATGCCCTGAATATATGCATCTGCCATATATTTAATCACATATGTAATAAATATTACCTGTTTAATCCATAAGGCAATGCAGATCTCTTTCTCTATCACTTGTGGATAAACTCAGATGGCAATGTAGAGGCTGAGAGATACTAGGAACTTTTCCATGGCACACAGATCTTAATTAGAGCAGAAAGAATTCACAATTAAATTGTAGGTCACTGAGGCCCATGCACTAACATGTTCACTCTGTTTCCTAATATTTCAAAATGTTTAAGCAGAAGTCCAGGTAACTTAACTAAAGATACATCTAAGTTACACCTTCAAACTCATTCCAGCTTCCTGACTAGAAGTGGACACCAAGATTCTGTCTGCATGTCTCCCTTTGTGAATGAGAGGTAGTAAGTTACAAGGATGAAGAAGTAGGTTGACACCTGAGACAGAAATCTTGGAAAAGGGGCAAGAGAGAAATCTGTCCTGAAATATCATCTGCCAACTCCTGATGTGCTTCCCTCCT